TTTTCTTTGATATTCCTACTCTGTTCAAATTTTTTGATAAACTCTTAAATTAAAATTTGAAAAAAAGAAAACAAGAAGAATTTAGCCTCTTGGTATCGGAGGAAGGAGGGGGGGGGGGGAGTTAGTCCGTGTTTCACGCCCTAATTACAGATCTTGATTGCTTTAAGTTGTTTTTTTTTGAGATTGAATTTGATCACTATTTGTCATCACCCCTTTTAACTTTGTTATTTATTTACGTAAAGATTTCCTTCCATAATTAACATATATTTTTCTTAACATATTTTCTTTTTCCAAACATTTGTGAATTTATGAACCTTTTTCTAAATAGATGAATAATTTTCTTTTCTTCATTCGCCAGCTGGGATTTGTTTTTATTCACACTTAATTGATAGTACCAAGTTTAACATTATACATAGATTTATCTTACATTTTCACGTGTACATCCCAGATAGCAGGATGTTATTGGACCTTTGTTGGGCCAACAATGCTCCTTATGTTGGGCCACCGTTTGTATTCAACATTGGGCCATCGGTAATTTGCTCATCGGCCCTTAATCAAACCAACGTGTTGGCTTATTGTTGGGCCAATGTAACAGTTAATATTGGGCCACTGTTGGGCCAATGTATTATTCCAATATTGGGCAAACGTCATTTTTGTACAATTGGGCCATTGTAAGTAGTTAATGTTGGGCCAACGGTAATTTGCTCATCGGCCCTTAATCAAACCAACTTGTTGGCTTATTGTTGGGCCAATGTAACAGTAAATATTGGGCCACTGTCGGGCCAATGTATTTTTTCAATGTTGGGCAAACGTCATTTTTGTACATTTGGGCCATTGTAAGCAATTAATGTTGGGCCAACGGTAATTTGCTCATCGGCCCTTAATCAGACCAACTTGTTGGCTTATTGCTGGACCAACGAACGGATATTATTGAGCCATTGTTGGGCCACTTATTCTTTCAATATTAGGCAAACATCATTTTTGGGCCAACGTTGGTTTGTATCTGATTGGCTCTCCATCATGACAACTCATTTGCTCTTCACTGGTTGGCCATTTGTCCTCAAAATTGACAAACAAATACATATATTAAGGTTATACTAGTTTTGTAGTACAGTTTACTGGTAAAAGCCCTTTAATACTATATATATATGCTAGATTAATAGTTTAATACATATTCTCAATATATATCTCATAGCATTAATTAAAAAACTGAGGAAAAAGAAATCAAAATATAAAATTAAATTATAACATGCTAGTATTTTATTGCTCAGGACATGAAGAAAACATTTATAAAGAAATAAAAGTTGATGCTCACTTCAAGTGATACATGTAGGGTTACATGACTGTATACTCCCTCTCTGATGTAAATTTATGCACAAGTTCAGTAAATTGCAGGTATCAATAAGCAGGTCCAACAAATAAACAAAGCCCCCCTGTTCTTAAAATAATACTAAAATGAATCCGGTCATTTTGTTTACTTACACAAAAAAATGTTTCTGGCACCTGCATCGTGTTTGTAACCGACAAACAGACACAGAAAAGGGTAGAACTACAGATTTGTCACAGTATATAACAGAAAAAAGCTAGGCACTGCCACTTTCCATCTGATCCCTCTCTTAAGTCTTCTCTTCTCTCTCTCCCGAGTCTCTTCCTCCCCCTTCTTTTCTTCTCTGTCCGTTTCTTCCTCCCCCATCCCTGTCCTTGGCATACCTTAGCTATTCTTTGATTGTGTTCTGAATGTCTTTTTAGAATCTCCAGTAGCACTAAAATTGTAGTATTTGGTACTTAATACATTTGTTACTTTTCTCAGTAAAGAGTAAACATACGATTTACAATTTACAAGTATATCACTATATGTTTAAGCTGTCAATTAAGGAATAACCGTCTTTTTTGTTTCATGGTGTGATTAAGTGATTAGCTTGCATGATGAAGGCATTTATGCATAACATTTCTACGCTTGATCATCATCATCATCACAACGATTTTGATTCAATGTTACATAAAATACATGTATAGAAAAGTCGTTACACTGAACAAATTTTAATTGAAAGAACCCAATTTATGTTTAGTAGTGAATAAATTTAGTTTTAACTTCAACAAGTTCAACATTTTCAAAATGTTTGTTCATGTGCTCTAAGTTAAGTGTATATAATTAAATTAAGTGGTAGACTTCGGAAATGTATTTTACTAGTCACACATTTCAATCTAAATAAGGGGCAAATTATTTATTGTTTTAACTGTATCAAAACACATTTGTTATTTTATAATTTAATTTATTTTTCTTGTATAAAAACAAAACATTTAATCACTGATAATTTATTTTGTTTTGATAAATAATAAGAATTTTAACAAGCCTTGTAAATTCATTTTAGCTAGCTTGTACTTTCAAGTAGGATTGGTTGTAGATTTATTTTTAATTGTAGAGACGATCAGAGATTTGTTAATAAACAGATCTGTAACAATTAAATATTTATACACATTGGCCCAATGTTGGTCCAATATATCGGGCCAACATTGGGCCAAGGAGCAAAATGACACAGGGCCAACGTCATTTACCAACATCGGCCCAATGTTCCTATTGACGTTGGTCAAACAATGTCGCATTCATTGGGCCAATGTTGGCGCAACGTTGGGCAAATATCTGTAGAAATAACACTCTACAGTGGGCCAACGTTGGCCCAACATATCGTGCCAACATTGGGCCGATGAGCAAACTTAAATTGGGTCAATATCATTTGCCAACGTTGGCCCGATGTAACCGATTACATTGGTCTAACGTTGGCCCAATGTTAGCATGCCATCGGGGGTACAGTGTTGACCCAACAGCACCTGGCCTCTGCACTTGCCCGTGTCTGCTTTGCGCAGATTTGTACATGATATCGTTTAAAAACTAAACGTTAATTCAGCTGTGCCGAGGAAAACATATTATAAATACTTACAAAGTGGATGCATATATGCAAGGTATCAGTCTCATTACGCTCGCTCGTGTCAGATTAAAAATGGCGCGGATATTACAAGTAGCCCGGTTGTTGTCTACCCATGATGCTCAGTCAGATTCATGGTATATTGGGCCAACGTTGGGCCGATGCCAATCCCCAAACCAATATTTTCTCTCATGATAATAATTTTATGATATAATGCGAACAGTTAGCCCAACATTAGCGCACCATTATACATAACCAGCTATCGATATTCCATGTTGGGCCATTGTTGGCCCAATAAAGGTAATCCAACATAGATAATACAACCATAATGTAAGATTCGACCAACCATGTTCTGCTATCTGGTTTATTACAAATAAATATAAGCATAAACAAAATTCAAAAAATATAATAAAACACTCTTTGGTGCTGTGATCACTTAAGTGCAAAGTTAAAATATTGAAAATATCATATCTAAACAAGAGCAGTCATCCAATGATAGGCATGGACATAGAAAGTCCTCTTAATTATTTCAGAATGTGCCAACGTTGTCCCAACGTAAAGCTCAGCAGCTAATTATAAAGTTGACACCATCAATTAATTGGCAATATAATAATTGGGCCGACGTTGGCCCTATATAAATATCCCATCTTTTAAACAACACTTGTGTGTATTACAAACATTGTGCCAATGTTGAGCCAACATACTACTACCAACTTGATAAGACACGTTCTTTAAGGGTGTATTAGAAACAATGGGCCAACGTTGGACCAACATAATACTATCAACTTGATAAGACATTTTGTTTAAGGGTGTATTAGAAACATCGGGCCAACGTTGGGCCAACATACCACTTGAACTTGATAAGGCACTTTCTTAAAGGGTGTATTACAAACAATGGGCCAACGTTGGACCAACATAATACTACCAACTTGAAAAGACATTTTCTTTAAGGGTGTATTACTAACAATTGGCCAACGTTGGGCCAACATATTACTACCGAATTGATAAGACACATTCTTTAAGGGTGTTTTACAAACATCGGGCCAACGTTGAGCCAACATACTACTACCAACTTGTAAATACACTTTTCTTTAAGGGTGTATTATAAACATTGGTCCAACGTTGGACCAACACCAGGATCCTTCCTTCCTTGGGAACTAAAGTGATTGGAAGTTGCTTACGTTGGACCAACATTGGGCCAACATAGGAATTCTGTCATTGTCAAGAAGGTTGACTTGGTAACATTGGTCCAAAGTTGGCCCAACGTTGTTCCCCCAACGCCAACCATACAACCTTTTACAAATGTTGGCCCAACATAGTCATGCTATCTGGGATGTATCCTCTACTTAAGAATAGAGTAAAGGAAGCTTGATATTTTTAGAGTTTTGTGATCTCAAAGCTCAGAGAGCCTTAAGTTTCCTTTTAACTTATTAAACTGTTTTACTAAAAAAAAATCAAGAGATTCTTTTTCCTTTAAGTAAGTATATATGTAACTAAAATAAGACTTAAGAAAAAAAAACCCTTGTTTTTTTCCAATAATTTTATAATTTTCGTCAATGTAGTTATTTGAGATCATTAACTGTCCACCATTTTTAAATTTTGTTTTATATTAATTACTATCCCTATATGATTACCACTTTTTTAATATTTCCTTTTCAAAACAGAATTGAACCTATTTGCTTACTCAAAACTTATTACCGATTTGTTCTCTATATATTACGAGGGTCATTCAAGAAGTTTTGTCCTCCCAAGTCCTCCATAAAAATGAACGTAGATCACTTCAAACACACTTGTTATGGTTCATTGAATTCATTATCAACCACACCGTCCTTGCAGAAAAAGAATTGCTTCAGTTTTTGAAGATTTATCATGTTTGGAAAATACCCTACACGTGATACTCTATTGTTTCATTATGGGAAAGAAAGTAAATACAACAGTAGAAATGAGAAGCTACATAAAAGCATGTGCTAAACTTAAAAAATCAGCAAAGGAAACATTCGAAGAGGTGCACAATATTTATGGAGACCAACAGCCGTCATACAGAACCGTTTCCAGATAGCTAGAAAAAATTCAAAGATGGGAGAGAAACTGTTAAAGATGATGTACGATCCGGAAGACCAAAAACGGTTAGTAAAGCAAAATACTTGCTGAAAATCAAAGATTTAGTGGAGAGAGAGGGAAGATACACTGTTAAGGTCTTAGCTCGAATAGTAGGGATATCAATGGGAGCAGTTCATAGAATTCTTACAATAGATCTCGGTTACAGGAAGATCTCTGCAAGGTGGATACTACATTTACTGAATGAGGAACAGAAAGCTAGTCGCGTTGCATGATCACACTATTCAAAAAGAGGAAAAATCGACTATTTTCAGACATACCGGTAGTAACAGGAGATGAAACGTGGGAGCATTATTTTCAGCCGCAGAGAAAGTTTGATAATAAAGTATGGATGACAAAACATGGAAAGCGTCCAGTTATTGCCAAACGCTGTCAGAGCACAAAGAAGATTCTTCAAGCCATTTTCTTTGATAGGGAGGGTGTTGTGTTGCAATTTCCAATTCCCAAGAAGAAAAGTGTTACTGGAAAGGTGTACAAATGTGAAATTTTGCATAAACTTAAACAGCAATACAAAAACAAATGTCCAAAAACTGGTATTAATGATCTCTTCTTGTTGCACGATAATGATCCAGCCCACAAGTCCAAATTAGTCACAGATTTCCCCAGTAAAGAAGGGGTTAATGTCATCCCTCATCCTGCTTACTCTCCAGATCTTTCCCCCTGTGACTTTTTTCTTTTCCCAAAACTTAAAAGACATTTATCTGGAAGACGCTATAATCTGGGTCATCACTTGGCTCCGCAATTCATCAGTTTGTGAAGGGTCTGCCTAAAGAGGAATATGGGAAAGCTTTTCAGGAGAGGATCTCTCGACTAAAACAGTGTATACATGTTAAAGGGGAGTACTTTGAAGGAATGAAATAAAGAAATGCAAATTATTTTATGTCCTTATTTTTTTTTCATTCCTTCCACTAAGGACAAAACTATTTGAATGACCCTCGCACACTTAATAATAGAAGGAAGTTATTTATTTTACTCAACATTATATACCTTAACCAATTTCATGTATATCTTCTGTTTCAAAAGGAAGTCTAAATTGCTTAATTTTCCTTGTTTAAATCCCTTTCGAGGAGAAAAACAAATTGGTTTTTAGTTAACAAATAGGTTCATTGTTGGTTTAAAAATGAAAAAAAAAATGTGTTAATCATGTAGGGATATTAATAAATGTAGCAAAAGGATTGGAATAATTGCAAAATTATCACTCTTCATGCAGTTCGTTTGTTAATTTATTAGAAAGATTTGATTGGATCATTTATCTTCTTGCTACACCTTGCTACAAATTAATGAGCAATAAGCAAACTGGGTACTCGTGTAGAAATGTTTCATATTTACACAAATCTGGATATAATGTGGGTCAAATGCTTTGACTCATAGAAAAAGAAAAAAAAATGGACAAAAGGAACTTACCATGTATATCACCTGCTGGTAAACATTGACAAGCTGCTAGGATTTTTGTATACTTGTTTGTGTTTTTTTTTGACAGTCATTCAGAGAATTTATAATTTTTTTTTTTAAATGGTTGGAAAGATATATCCATATTATAAATTATATGTTAGGGAAAAATCTAAAACAGCTCTAAAAATGAGAGAAATATAAGTCTTGGCCCTTAAACAAAAGTGATTACTTATCTACTTTTTATATGAAGTGACATGTTTAAAACCAATACTGTCTTTGTTAACACCTACTACATGTATATGTTTTCTTCATTTACAAACCACCTACTCAATTTTGTAAAACATAATTCTTATATATAATTAGTATGAGAAACGAATGGCACTTAAGAATTCATCAAAAAAAGTGATAATTGTATCATTAAATTTAAGAAAATCTGTTATTCCAACAAATATCAAAAATACTTTCCAGAGGGGTGCAAATTAATGAATATATTTTTCTATGTTCATTCACAGTTTGTTAAAATTAACTTTCCTCGTTTTCTAGCAAATGATAGCAAGAAACAAATCATACTCATTGATCTATCTAATCAAAAAAACATGACGCGAGAATCTCATTCGACGAAAAATCTGGTAATAGAAAAATAAGCGGATGTTTTCTAGGGCAGGGAGCTTATTTGTTTGCTAACATAAACGAATCAATCATTAAAAATTAATTACAGGTGTTACAAGAAACACTCTCCAGAGAGATATTAGAAAAAAAATAAAGCATGTTATCATCTATTGATCATTAATTTTAATTCCAAAGAGATATTAGAAAAAAATAAACATGTTATTATTTATTGATCATTAATTTTAAAGAAATAATGGTTTAAAATCTTTTTAAAAAGTCTATCTAATAACACAATAAGGAACAGTAGACAAAGAAATCCTTCACTTGGACACAAGTTACATATTAGTCATCATATAATAATTAACGTGTGACCAAATTAATTGCACGTGATAGAATTCTTACTTCAAATTATTCAGGTAAAGTATTTTTAAAAAGTATATCTTATAAATATGTCTACCTTAAATACCTTTACAAATAAAGATGACCGGTACATTTTGTAAATCACTCAAAATAACTAGGAAAAGAGTAAAACATTCAGGAGTAAATGAAAAGGGTTCATAAAGAGGATAGTTAAAGATACAGATTTGATAGATATATCTGCAAATCATTGCCTTCATAGTCTTGAAAATGTTCTTCTGTTGCTTTCCTTTAGAAACGTTTTTCCCTACTATCAACACAATTTTACACATTTCATTAATAATAAATGCTGGTAGTAACTTACGGGATTTTACTAGTATTTCAATTGAAAAGACCTTAAAAAACTTCATTTTATTAATAAAAATTATTTGAAATTCATGTACTGGACAATATGTGTTGAAAACTCATACACAAATGCAAATGAATTTACTAGCATTTCAGACATGTTTTGTCGTGTTTTGATAATTTTGTACTGGCTAAGTTCACAATTGACAAACAGTTTATTGTATTTGGTATAAAATCTTGTTTAGTCTTTGGAAGTAAAATACGAGTAGTGGCAAAAATTACTTTACTAAAGATTATTTTCCTAGATTCAATTTTTACCAAGTTATGAGTTAAAAGTCTAAACCGTTAATCGAATCCAGGGAAGGTACTTATCAAATGTTGAAAGATTTCTTAAAATGGACATGGCCTCCAAATTAAAGAGAAAGAAGCTGAAACTTCAAAAAGAACAGTAGCAAGAGCTCATTATGTATGGGGCCAGAATGAGACGTCGTTATAGACACAAAGATATAAAAACAAATAGGAAGAAAAACAACTTTAATCTCAAGAAATGCAATTATAACAAGCATTCTGAGAGTATTGCATAAGCAATACATGTCCCCTACCGGGTTCCCCTTTTCTCTTTGGGGTGTCATTTTACTAGAGCCTGTGTATGAAAAATTGTTACTTAAATATGGACGTTTCGGTTATTACTTGAATATGAATGAAATGTATTAGATCTGCCTTACGTTTAGAAAGACTCGTGACGTCTTTGAATGCCATTTGACACACACAAATGCTTTGATCAGAACAGCTTATTTTACATGGTTGAACAATAATTTTATACCAGGAAAAATCAAACTTGATCTATATTTGTCACTATAAAGGTATCCAGCAAGTTTCAAATCATGATAATTCTTAAATTAAACGAATATAACTTGTTAGATGAAGTTTGATTGTAATTCTATCAAATCAAATAGTACTGAGGGATCAGATGAGATGACTTAGGTCACGTGATTCCATTCAACCAATCAGACTTCAGATACCATAGACAATTACATCTACTGAAACCTAAATGCCCAAGGGTGGGTTTATTATTTACTAATGACAATACATTAAAATTGTGGCGGGCATCTGATCCCTCAGTACTATTTGATTTGATAGAATTACAATCAAACTTCATCTAACAAGTTATATTCGTTTAATTTAAGAATTCTATCAAATCAAAGTACTGAGGGATCATATGAGATTTCAGAGCTGATGTATTTGTCTATGCATAAATAAATAAATTAAGAGTAGAACTAAAGAACATTCCATTTATTTACATTCTTCATATCAAATTTAATCAAGTAACACTTTTTAAAATACTTTCATTAAACTGTGCAGATGTCTGTATCGGTTTGTTATAAAACCTTTGAAAAGTACTAGCGTTCGACCAGCCAGCTTTCTCCATGATAATGTCTATTGGTACTCCTGCTTTATGAGCGGCACTAGTAGCAGCTGCCCGTGTTGAATGTGGGCAAAACTTAGATATGTCTATCCCCGACATTTCCATTGTATCAGGTATCCATCTACTTATGGTATCTCTGCTAACACCCTTGTGAGGTTTCATAGTACTGACAAACAATTTCTTATTTTGTCTTATAAATTTTGTTCTTTCTAAATACTCACATAGTGTCCTCACAATACACAATTCCTTTTCTACATACATTGGAAACTTAACATTATTTACATGCTTTCCTGGTTTGGAAGTTTTTAACAAAGAACTATATCTAATTTCTACATAATCATTTCCTACAACTACATCATCAACAGTTAACAAATGTAATGTTTGACCTCTTTGACAAGTCAATAAAGCTAATAACATAAGAGTTTTACATGACAGAAGTTTCAAAGACAATTCTGAAAGTGGATATAATGTTTTCAAATAATTTATAACTATTGACACATCCCATGTGCAGCTATACTTTGGTAATGTTGGTCGTTTGACAAAAACACCTTTTAAATATCTTTTAATTAGAGTATGAGATCCAAAATTTTCTTTACCACACAGTGAAAGTAATGATGAGACAGCAGATCTTGCTGTATTGATTGCACTATATGACAATTTTTGGTCAAACAAAGTTTGTAAAAAACAAAGAAAATCATTTACAGTTGGATTAAATGAATCAATTTTCCCTGAATCACAAAATTGCAACCATCGTTTGATATAACTCCAGTATTGTCCTTGAGAAGATTTCCTCCAGGAGTTGAAAATGACCACGGCAAGGTCTTCCGATATTCCTCTGTCCTGAAGAAGTTTCCGGACAATGGAAAACATCCCATCTTCAGCTTTGGAATCCTGTGTTGTCTGTTCGGATCTGTTGGCATTGTAAGGATGTTTTTGTTGTTCAGAAGGTAAGGTTGCAGATAAATCATTTTCAGAAGTGCTGGAAACCACGCTTGTGTGTGCCACAGTGGTGCTATTACTACTGCATTTGTTTTGTCCTGCTGAATTTTCTGCAATACTTTCCCCAGCATACTGAAAGGAGGAAGAATATAAAATTTGTCATTTTTCCAAGGAAAAGAAAATGCATCAACACCAATAGCTTCGGGGTCTGGGAGAAAAGACACATATCTATCAAGTTGATGATTTAATCTGGATGCAAACAAGTCAATTCCATTTTTTAAGTTAAATATTTGACATATACTGTCAAAAACAGTCTCGTTCAGTTTCCACTCTAAATCATCATTAATAGTGCGTGACAGTCTATCTGCTTCTACATTGTCAATGCCAGAAATATGAGAGGCGCTTATAAAAATGTTTCTTGCTATACACCAAAACCAGATATCCCTAGCTAACAAATTGAGTTCAGGAATTCTGCCCCCCATTTTGTTTATATAATGCATAGCCACCATGTTGTCCAATCTAACTTGTATATGTGTGTTTTCTGATGTGCTAAAAAATGTCTTAATGCTCAGAAACACCGCTTTAAGTTCTAGATAGTTAATGTGATAAAGCCTTTCTTCATATGACCAATTTCCACCAGTCTTCTTGCCAGACTTGATTTCACAACCTCCCCATCCTTTTTGAGAACTATCTGTTTCTAAAATAATGTAGGAATTAGGATGGCCTTTGAACTTGTGCAAATATTATCACACCACCATGAAATGTCCTTAATAGATTCAACGGTCAAAAGAATCTTTTTGTCAAAATCTCCTCTATTTTGTCGTAACATATTATCTTTGAAAATTTCAAGATTTCTGTATCGTAGAGGTGCATGTTGGACAGCTGGTGAAGCTGCAACCATTTTCCCAATAAGCTGCGCCAACTCTCTTATCTGGATTTCATGTTTGATAATTAATTTAGACCCTAGATCCTTTATATCTTTTGCTTTGTCTTGCAATAAAGAAACGATCATTTTCTTAGAATTTATGAGAAATCCTAAAAATGCTATTTCTTGCACAGGCTCAACAACAGATTTGGTAGGATGAATAGTAAATCCTAAATTGTCAAGTAATGTTGATGTACTTCCTATATTTTGAGCACAATGTTCAAAACTATCACCTAACAATAAAATGTCATCTATATATGGTACACTTTCAAATCCTTGTTTTCTCAATGTACTAAAAAACTGGTTTTAAAAGTTTTGTAAACACACGTGGGGCAGAAGATAATCCATTAGGTAAAGAAGTGTATTGAAAACACTGATTTCTCCATATGAATTTTAAGAATTTTCTGTCTGCGGAATATATTGGTACAGAATAGTAGGCATCTTTTAAGTCTACCGAAGCCAACCAACAATCTTGCTTTACTAAACACAAAGCACTTTTTATTGTTTCCATTTTGAAGTGGTGATATTCAACATCCTTGTTCAAATCTTGTAAATTTAGAATTAATCTAAAAGTTCCATCATGTTTTTTCCTAGTGAAAATGTTTGAAATGAAGTCATTTTCCATTCTTTCTGTCTTTTCAATCACTTTTTTGTCAAGGAGTTTTTGAATTTCTGTATCAATGACAATCATTTCTTCTGGAGAGAACCTTATTTGATGAGGAACCCTATCTTGCAAAGGAGACTGTATTAAGTCAAGTTGATATCCTAGTACAGTTTTAAGAATTTTCCTATCTGATGTTAACTCCTTCCATTTGTCAAAATAAGAACAAATTTTTCCACCATAGAAATTATCAGGTGTATTATGAAATTTTTCAAGAATGTTGCATTTTTCCTCACTATTAACTGTACTTACAGAATGGTCAAGATGAGCTATGTCTGTGATTGTTGGTTGAGTAGAATTGTCTACTTCTTCTGTTGGGTTTGAGGTGGTCTCCTGCCCCTGCCTTTCCCTAAAAAAGACCCATTGTTGTTTTGGTCGTATTTGTAGGAATGGGAGTAGGTGCCATGTGTCTGAGGTTTTCCACTAAATCTGTAGCCAGATCCATAAGATTTCTGATGGCTTCCCTGATTTTTTCCTGCAGATGACCCTTGAAAACTGTATCCTTGGAGTTTTTTGCTCACTTTCTTTGAGGTATCAATTTTCTTGATCTTTTCATCTACGTTGTCCCCGAAGAGGAATTCTGTGACCTTGTTCGAATCATTGCACAGAGGTTTATAACTCTGTTTCCATTCTGGCCGGATTAAATATCTCCGTTTGTGAGATAAATCTGTAAAAGCTAATTGCAACAATTTTACTGTATCCTGTGCTAGTTCAAGGCATTCCTTCATATCTGTGACTTCCGATGTTTTTGATTTTCTTGCCGAAATCAATTTGTCTAAAAGGCTGCAAGCGGGGCTCAAAGCTTTTAACACAATTGTTTGGGACTTCTGAATTTTAAAATCTATTGACTGTGCCTTTTTCTTTAACGATGGCCATATTTCTTCATTGATACGGGGCACCGTCATGTTAGAGCAGTTTTCGAGTCTGTTGTGTTTTTCACACAAGTTTTTTGCCTTGTCTTCAGATGGTCTTACTTGGAAATTTGTGTTGATAACTTTTGCTAACTCAGCACTTAGAGCTGGTCCTGTTTTGTCATCTTTTACCATAAACTCTTCTAATGATTCTAAGAAATCCTCTTCATCCTTGTCCTCGTCTTTATCCTTTTGCACTTTGGATATCAGGTCATCAAGAGTTTCTTCGACATCATTGTCCGACGTTAGTTCATCAGGCTCATTTGCGACCTGAAAACACAATTATCCATGTAAACTACATCATATTATCTTGAAGTGTTAGATCTCTCAATAACAGAGTTTTTAATCTGATTTTATTTATAATATTGTTTTGAATATTGCCTTTCTATTTTAATTATGAAATTTTTTAGCTGCACAACTACTGCTGAAATTATTGTTTTATGTCAGAATGGTAATACGTGCCTTGCGTTTCTTAGAAACAGGCTGTTCAGTGGTATTAACCAATGGTCTTTGCCGCATGAGATGATTAAGTATACTTTGGTTTTGAAAAAACAGTTTTTTTCCATTGCACATGATCATCATCATCGTCTTCGTCCATGGGCGCAGCCATATTTGTTTGGCGCAGAGCATTCTGGGTCTTCTGGGCGTCCATCAACATCGATGGCGGGAAAGCAGGCGAAGCTCCGCCCACTACACAATCACTCTGAACAGTTTGAACTGTTTCTTCTCTTGCAGCTTCAGGCACAACAATTAATGGACAAGAATTGATTTCTGTCATTATGGGATTGAACTCCCGCAACCAAACTGTCGAAGACAGCATCGCTATTCAAACGATTAGGTTCATTGGCCAAGTTCGCCATTATTTGTAAACAATGCACTCGTTAAGGGTCAAAGATTTTGACCCAAAACACAAGCAAACGAAGGTGAATGACACGAAGTGTCAAAATAAACAAAAACTTCGTATTGCTATAGCTGAAAATACAGCAATATCAGTTCGATAAACACTATAAACAATCCAAATTTGACTGAAAATCCTTGTCGAAAATATAACGTGTCTTGTTTGGAATCGCGTTACACTAAGCACTGATTGGTTGAATGGAATCACGTGACCTAAGTCATCTCATATGATCCCTCAGTACTTTGATTTGATAGAATCTCGTTTAGAACATGAATCCAGTAGTGCATCACGACATTAATTTAGTGCATCACGAACCCTATTGTGAACCCAATTATTAAAAAATAGAAAATAAAAATACCACAATTCCTTCAGAAATCAATTAAGTAGAATGAAATGCAAAACTGATCTATAACTAATCAATTTATAAAGGCTATCCAGCAAGTTTCAATTCATGACAATCTCGTTAAGAACATAAATTGAGTGCATCACGACATAAATGTAGTGCATCACGAACCCTATATTTAACCAAATTATAAAATTAAAAAAATAAAAATACCACAATTCCTTCAGAAATCAATTAAGTAGAATGAAATGCAAAACTGATCTATAACTAATCAATTTATAAAAGCTATCCAGCAAGTTTCAATTCATGACAATCTCGTTAAGAACATAAATTGAGTGCATCACGACATAAATGTAGTGCATCACGAACCCTATATTTAACCCAATTATAAAATTAAAAAAATAAAAATACCACAATTCTTTCAAAAAATCAATTAAGCAGAACAAAATGCAAACTTGATCTATAACTTATTAAGGTAAAGTCTCAAACTAAAAACCAGCTCAATATATGCAAGCGTTTAGGAGAAAAGTGCGGAAAACCCTGAAAAATTTAAAAGGCCGTAATTCCGTAAAAAATCATTGAATCGGAACGATATTCAAACTTGGTCTATAACTCATCAAGATACACCCACGTACCAAAAATCAGCTCAGTATCTGCTAGCGTTTAGAAAAAAAAGTGCGGAAAACCAAGTGGGACAGACTGACAGACAGTCGGGGACAGACAGCTAGACAGACGGACGGACAGACAGACAGACAGACGGACGGACGGACGGACGGACAGACGCAGAGGAAACCAATAGTCCCCTCCGGTTTCACCGGTAGGGGACTAATAACCGACGAATATGCAGTCTTTCCAATGCAGAACGTAGACTCGTGTTCCAGCCAGAATGAATTAATCCTTGGTACATGTAGCAGGTTGAGATTGCAATAAAACTCCGAAGATTACAATGGGAAAGCTTTCTTACATTTAAACTAATTATACAAAATCTTCATAAAAATGAAAGCTTGTTTTTCGAGCTTTTGTTCCCACAAATCCACTGAAGAAAAAAAATTTCAAAACCCCTTTTAGCCGAATGCCCATTTACACAATTTACAAAACAACATGCATTTATCTTTCATCCCATAAAGTTTCTGTACGTTAATTTCGTACATTTTGTTTTTGCTAGTTGTTATACAGCAGCATTCTGATTAAAAAGAAATATGAGTGGAACAATAGGGAATTCGTGTAAAATCCAATCAGTATTGTTTATTTACTAAACAGGTATTGTTCAAAATACATCTTACTTTTTTAAGATGTTTTTTCTTAAGTTAAAAACAATTTATTAAAAAAAGATTTCCTAAATCGTTTCTTAAAATTTCGTTTTTCTACGGCGAATATCCGTTTGAGATACAGTGTTTGTTGGTTTGTTTGTTTCTTGTTTAACGTCCCTGTGGAGAATTTTTCACTCATATGGAGATGCCACCACTTGCCGGTTGACGGCTACAAATTTTGTCCTATATTCGGATTTATTTTAACAAAATTCCACTTCCAGTTTTTTATGCCCCCGTAAACAAAGTTTCGGGGGTATATAGTTTTTGTCATGTCCGTCAGTCTATCTCTCTGTCTCTGTTTGTCCGCAAAAACTTTAACCTTGCCATAACTTTTGATATAGTGGAGCTATGACGACTTCCATATTTCACATGTGTATTCCTTGTGACAAGACCTTTCTTTGGGTTCCACCAAATTTGACCTTTTGACCTTGGAGTTTGACCCACTTTTGACCTTGGAGATTTCCGTACATATGAAAAAACTATAACCTTGGCCTACTTTCATATTTCAGAATTGTGTTTCCAGTGAGTTTGCATTTAAGAAAAGTTTATTCTTTGCTATGTTGTCATACAGGGGCATCAGTGTTTCACAAACACGCCTTGTTTTTCACGTGATAGGTATTGTACTCCCGCTTGAAAAGCAGAAAGTATATATAGTGATGGTAACGTCCTATATATAGTGATGGTAACGTCCTATATATAGTGATGGTAACGTCCATGCGTCTATTACGCTTTAGGATACCGATCTCTTTTCCGCGACTTCTCCTTTACTGATAATGAAAATTAATATGACTTATACAGAATCTTTGTTACATAGTGCAGTTGTGCACTTCCTTTTAAACTTTTTCATCGGACACAATGTCGGGTTTCCCACAGCAAAACTTGGATACTGTCACTTTTCGTTAATATTGAATGGTGCCCATGTCTTATTCGCAACTCCTCCTATATATCACTGAATAAAATTTACAAATACTTTCCCAGATTCTTTATTACATATTGCCATTGTGCACCTTTTCTTTTACGTTTTTATCTGACACTGATTTCGTGTCTCGCAGAGAAAAGTACGGACTATGCCATTATGATCATGTGGGAATCACAGGAACGGTGGTGTTTCAGTTTCTGTGGTCATTGCTTACAGTACCTCTCGTTTAATTACAGGGATATTTTGTCCGTTAAAAAATTTAAACAATCTTCATTGCCTCCTTAACTTCTCTAAACATGACATTCTTTTGAGCCTAAAACTATCACTGACCAGAATAAGAAACGCTCATTTTTCCGACGCTATTATCACTTTTAAAATGTTTCTTGATGATCATTTTTTGTATAAAAGACCAATACAAGTAGTTCACAGAATTCAGTAAGACTTTCTAAAAGGAAATGTGATAATTTGTAACCATGTTTTTTTTTTTAAAATGTTGGTTAAAAAGAAAATATGTGCCATGAACTTTCTTACCTGTTTACTTGATAATAAACCAATACTTGTAGTTCACACGGGATTAAGTGAGACTTTCTGAATTGAAATGTATAAATTTCAAAACTGTGTTTTTTAAGTATTGGTTAAAAAGAAAATCTGTGCCATGAACTTTCTAGGTTGAGCAAAGGGAATAAGAGGTCAAATAACGTACTCAGATGGTACAGGGTGTCCCATAATATATGATACCATTTTAAATTATTGTCAGAAACGCAGGTCTTGACCAATTTTTTTGAAATCTGTCTTATTGAATATTTGAGTAAATACAATTTTAGCACAAATAATTTCAGTTAAAAATTTTCACATAGTTGGAGTAATGTAGTCACATAATTACGTCTAGAAATTGCTTAAATTGATTTATCAATTAAGCTGGGTACCCTCATTTCAAAACTGTAATTATCAAATCCAGTCTTAAGATATTATTACTAAACCTAGATCTAAATCTTTAATTTATCTAAAAAGGTATATATCCAATGAAAATCTAGATTATAACTAAAGAAGAACGCATTGATGTCTTAAGTTATGGAATTTTGTGCAATGTCAGGACATGAACATTCCCAGATTGGATGTCATTAAGAGGACATTTGTTAAAAACAATTAGCATTTTTCAAAGTGAACTCATTTTGTCGTGTTCCTTTCATTGTCCATAAAATTTTGTGAATAAAATTCGACAGTTTATGTGATATCTATAGTGCATTTGTTGTAATTCAATACTCATTACATTGAATTTTATATATTCATGAAATGGTATACTATTTATGGTATGTTGATATTACAGCTCGGGGTTGTTCCATCTGAAAATTTACCATGTAGGAGCCTGCACGATGGCTCATTGTGATCTTGATCACAAATACGTGTTCAGAGCCTTTGAATTCCTTAATCAATGATTATTTCACAAATATTTTTACCATGATATAATTGTCAAATGAAAAAGTAAAATAAAAGGTGTACCATGGCATTGTATAAGAAAGAATATGCGAAAGTATTATTAAATTTTATCTAGTGGTATAGGAGGAGGTGCTGACAGATGATAATGATTCCTGCACAGTTCAACCAATAAGAAAGCAGAAACAGGTGGGAAGGCAGCATAAAAGACAAAGAACATTTCTTTGAATCCAGTTTCATGCTGAAGTGAAATAAAAAAGGTTGTCTTTGACAAGATCAATAGAAAATGCCAGCCACAATGGAGAAGTGTTCCCGTATAGCAGTCCTTGGGGCCCGGAAGGTCGGTAAAACATGCCTGATAAAGCAGATACTGAAAAGAGGCTTCAGAGAAAAGGATGACCCAAACACAGAGAGAATGTTCAGGTATGACATTCACACATCTAAGAACAAATACACCAAATTGGAGATTCTGGACACGGCAGGCGACTTCGAGTACCTGGACCTCCTCAAAGAAGCGGTAAAGACCAGCCATGCTTTTGCACTGGTATTTGACCTTGATAATGCCATGCAGACTTTCAGAGAGATCGAAGCTTTACGACAACTGATTCTTGAAGAGAAGCGAGAACAAGTTCCTATTATTGTTGTTGGTAACAAATCGGACTTGATACAAGAAGACACTATCGATAACAAAGTTATTGATGCTATTGTTTCTATTGACTGGGGCTGTACCTATCTTACAACATCAGCCAAATGTGATGTAAACGTTTCAGATGTATATAGCGCTGTATGTAAAGAACTTAATATTGTAATTGAACCAAGGCCAGATGAAAACGAAGTTTGTAGGGAAGTCAAAAAACAGAATGCAAAACCTTGGCAGCGCATATCTTTACGCAGAAGACGTTTTTCTGTAAAATCATTTTAAAATTTTTGTCGCAATAAATTTTTTTTAAAAATAAGCATATGAGTTATTTTGTACCAAAACAAAATTTTAAATTGTGAAAGTGCCTCATTTTAAATTCATACCTAAAGACATTGTGTTGTTGCCTTTTGGTATACTAAAAAAAGACTGTCCATTATTGCTATGTGTACTATGTTAGTCTCCGAAGTATTCCTTTCACAAAGAGTAAGAGAAACTTAATTACGAGTTTCAGAATTTCATATAATGCTTTTATAATTACTTTCATTGCTAATGAATATCATATAGTTGACACCTAATCTTGTTAGAAGAACATTTGGTATTTCTGACAGAAATATTTTAAAAAATACATAATCGATTGTGCTGAAGAATGCGTGTACCGACACGTGTTGTTGCAAAGTATCTGCATAAGAACCAGCCGTAAATCATTTAATGTATCGTCAAAAATATTGACGTTTGTGATAAGAAAAAAAAATGAGTATAGAGTATGTAACACTTTTAAACCTTGAAAGATTGCATTAATCTAGAAGAGGATTAAAAAGTATGGGGCGTCGTTTCAATATTTTAAGGTATTTCTTGATATCAAAAAATCATTTTGTGATATCAGAAATTCGACTTTTTGATATCAAAAAATTCTGATATCAGAAAATATATTTTTTGATATTATAAAATAAACAAGATTTTTTTATATTAAAAATTCGAATTTCTGATATCAGAAAATCATTTTTTGATATCAAGAATTCGAATTTCTGATATAAAAAAAAAATTCTAATATCAACAAATCTTCCGGATTTATGATATCAAAAAACGTAATTTTTTATATCGAATTCCTGATATCAAAAATTTGAATTTCTGATATCAAGAAATCATTTTCCGATATCAAAAAATCATTTTCTGATATCAGAAAATGAATTTTTGATATCAGAAATTCAAATTAAATTGATTTCTTGATAACACAAAATATATTTCTTGATATCAGAAAATAAAATAAAGCGGCGAAGAATCTTCACATAAATAATGAATACTCACTTGAACTGTAGAAAACCCCTAACATCAGCGCCAGATTTGCTTTCTACTTAAATTTGTTGATTTCAGATTTTAAATTTTTTTTTTAAATGAAAAAATTCAGTAAGTGTTCCCGATATTTTTGGTCATATTTATTTGCATGGAATTCAAATATACGTATTACTTTTTGGAATAAATCTGAGTAAATAATCTAGATGTGCTGTAGGTCGGGCTTAGACTTAGAATTTCTCTGTAACCCCTATCAACAGCAGCCATTAGCTTCTCCAATTGCATATTTGTGTAAAGTGATGTTAAACCAATAAGTTTAGAAATCTGTCCATTTTAAAAAATAATGGGCAGTATTTAATGACGAATTGAAATGCTACAGGTAAGTTTTTGAATTCAGAGTACACAACAAAGATAACATGAATATATTTAAGCAATGAATCATATGCTTCACAATATAACGAAAAAATTTATTCCTAATCATAGAAACTAAAACTGAAAATTTGTTTTTTTTCAATAAATAGAAAAATGTATATTACAAATAACAACGAATGTCAACACTTTAAATATATTATGTAAATATCTCAGAATTCTATTTATCAAAGATGAAAAACACTTGAAAATAACAGGGATTGCCCAATGCACACATTACCTCGTAGCATTCAATGACAAACAAGCAAAGGAAAATTTAGAAACTGTTTTATTTGGCTGAATGGGCCACGGCCGCTTAAATGAGGGAGCCGAGGCATCAATATTATGCCTTGTAATGGCATCCCTAAAAATGCAAAGGGAACCCTGGGAACAGATGTTCACCTTTCGTGACTAGTCCAAAATGCACACAAAATATTCAATTAAATGACAATAAGTTCCGAAAGCCTACTGGTGAGCCTAATAGCCGCCACGAGACCATGTCAGACATGGTCTGCGCCACCAGTAGGGAAAGCGTGACAGAACTTAAGTAAACCACCCCCTCCCCAAGAAAAACTTACTTTGAACTGCGATATGTCTAAAATAAATTCATTACTGGTCCTAAAATACCATTAATATGCAAATAACTTGGGGGCAAAGTATTGCCCAAATAAGCAAAATTGTTGTCAGCAATGCAATGCGGCAATATCACTGCCCAAATACTGCGTAAGCGAAAATATATCGCCAATCAAAGGACTAGTCACAAGCAAATGCAAATTCACAAAAATGGCGCCAAATTACATTCAAGTAAATGACTAGCACTATAGTCAGGCGGCATACCTAATTTTTTTGAGACAATTGTGCAATTTGTGATAAAAGCATAGAATTTTGTATGCAAGTAGAGTAGTTCTATACAAACATATCTGGATATTGGGCCACTTCATTCGGTACCTTGTATGACCTTGGTGGCCGATTTTCAAAATGGCTGACAAACGCAAGCGTTTACAAGAACATTTTTTTTTTGCGTGTTTAAAATAAAAACAACTTTGCAATATTTATAAATGTTCCTACATTTGCACATGCTCTATGATTTAAAAAAAATGTTACTTCATCTCATCGGGGTTAAGTATGTGCCAGCTGATGCTATTTATAGTAATATTTTTTCTAAATTGACAAAATTAAAAATCTATGATTAAAATTAAAGCATATGCTTTAAAACAGACATTTACGACATATCTTTAACTAATTTTTGCCGTGATAGAGACAAAATACCAACCCTTAAAATTGACTACCTTATTGTTTAACTTGCAGAGTTCACTTGTAACTGTTGTTACTATTTATAGTAACTTATAGTATAGTTCAAATTGTAACTATTGTTACTAAATATAGTAAAATTTAACTATCATAAGCAATACTTATCATACCCCCGCTTGAAAAGTGAAAGGGTATATTGGTTTGTCCGTCCGTTCGTCTGTACGCCCGTCTGTTACGCTTTGGGATACCCATCTCTAATCTGCAACTCCTCTTTTACCACTAATTGAAATTTAATGAAACTTTCACAGAATCTTTATTACATATTGCCATTGTGCACCTCTTATTTACTTTTTGATCCGACACATATTTTGGGTTTCCCCGCCACAGCATAACATAAACTTTTCCATTATAATCATTTGAGAGGCGGGGGTATCATTTAGTGAGCTCATTGCTCACAGTACCTCTACTTCAGTCAGAGGACGGCCATGCAAATTGAATGAAAAGAAACATAAAACACTATCATCGCAAAATTAATTGTGTTAAACATTTAACGCTTAAAAAACTCTAGTTACTAGTTACTGGTATATAATTGTTATGGAACTTGAATTGTATGTATTGACTTTTGCCAATCTCTTTGACTTCCGATTTATCTGGAAGTTCTTACAGAGCTTGCAACGTTGTTCAATGCCTTAGATCACACAAATTATGCAAGATGGATTCCTGTTCATCTCAGGGACATGGCGGAACTCCGTACAAAACACCCTGAAATAAATCAGGAATTTAATGATGGAAATTCCACAGTGCAAAACACCAAACGGGTTTTCTCTGCTATTCCCATCGACCAGGCACATGAACAAAACAATGCGTATATCAAGGACGACGGAGGAGCAATAGGACTTACTAATAACCATCCAATCCTTCTTCAATGGATGATATCTGGGCCAGAGATTGCAAGATTGATACAGGAGCTTCAAGATGAACAATCTGACAAGAGAGGGTCAAAAGATACCCGTCATCATGATCAAACACCTAGTATACAGGCTTCGTTTGCTAAAGATGTTCACTCTCTTGTTTGTCTGATCAATGACCTTGGCAATCCTTTCTATGAATTATGTAAAGATCTTCTAGTTCTACATACAAAGGAACTTTCAGACCAATCTGCAGTAAGAGCTGTGATATGTGTAATGAGAGTTGGAATTGATAAATTTACACAGTTTTGCAAAGAATGTCTCATTAACAGGTGAAGGCTAATCATCGATATCATTCATCGTAGTAGAGTAAACTTATCCAAAATTACAAGCAGTTCAAAATTCAGTGAAAAGAAAGAGGATGTAACTTAGCTCAAATGTGATGTGACTCTCTTTTTTTCAAAACAGACAAGGTAACCTTAGAGAATTCTTTCGACATGAGAATCCACTATGCCCGCCTTCACTTTCTGATGCATGTAACATCCATCTTGGAACCAAGAGTGACCTTCTTCAGTGCTTAGAGGAATTTGACGAGGAGCGGTCTGAGCCTTCAATTGACAAGCTGTGTAATTCTGAATGGTTCAGTTGTTGTTCAAATGCTTAGGTCAGGTACTGCTAAGACCTCAGAAAATTATGCTCATCAGAACTTCATTCCATATACAGTATTTCCTCAGTTTCTAAGAGCTTCGCGTATAGACCTGGCCCCAAAACCATAAACTGAGAACAGGCTTAAGTCAAAATTTCAAACCAGTATAACTTTTGAAATAATTTTGATAATGAAACAAAATTTCAGGAAATACTCAGTATTTAAATTTTAATGTCAGAAAATTGCAAATTTAGATTCAATAAAATACTTTTAATAGAGCTGAAGATATCAAAAATCAAATTTTCGACTTAAGATTGTTCTCAGTTTATGGTCTTGAGGACTGGTATGGGACAAATATAAAGACAATTCATTAAAAGGTACCGCTTGAGCAAAATGAGGCAAGAGAAAACGAATACGTGTGACTGCCGAGTCAACAGTACCTAGAGATTGGCAAGGTTTCCTCGAGTAGATAGAAACAAGACAGTACTTTACAGATTCCTCTGATTACGACTTTTGATGAAGGTGTAAACCAAATAGTTATCACCGATAGTAAAAATGTTCTTTCATAGCTCCAAATGCAAGATATCCTTTCGATTTCTCCATGTAATCACGAGGAAGCAGATAGCCGAATGCTGTTACACACAGCACATGCATCTCGCCAAGGCCATAACAGAATACTGATCCCCACTGTTGACACCAATGTTGTGGTCCTGGTGTGTCCGTGGTGGAAACTTTGAACCCAGAGACGGAACTTTGGATAGCCCTTGGAACTGGAAAAA